ATATATTATATGGATACATATAACAAGGAATAGTTGATAAGTTAGTGATGAGTGAGAGTTATAAACGCTGCTAAGAAAAGTAATAGCTGCTTTCAGTGAAAGATGCTAAGCCACGACTATTTTGATTTCATATTGATTATCAACTAACGGATACATTCATGTATTTATGAATGTATACGAATCAATTTGAAAAATACATTTTACTCCCGATTCGGACGCGAAGGAAGTCGAGGTGTAGAAATACTGTGCAAAGTAAGTTTAAATTTATTTGAATGGCATTCACATTAATAACAAATAGATAAATAAATTATGCTATGAATCCACTTCATCTGCCGTCAGGCTCAACGCAGCGACCCGCGACCCAGAGCGGGAGAGGCCGCATCGCCTTCGCCGTGACCGATTTCGGAGGGACGCTGGAGGGACGTCTAACCGGGTCCGTTGTGGGCGCCTGTTGGTCGGTCGGTTGGCGGCGGTCCGGTTTGGCTTAACTCCTGTCGAAGAGATCCTCGAGGGACACGAAGGATCCCTGGTTGCCGTCGGCGACGACGCCGTTGGTGACGGGGACGGCGTTGGACTCGACGATGCGGTATCCGTCGTCGTCGGCGATGTACTTGATGAAGAACTTCTCTCCCTCGGGGGACGTCCAGCTGGAAAGGGAAGGCAGGATATATGAAGGAGGCTTGACGCTGTTTGGTGTTAGTGTTTCGGAAAGGGAAGGACTCCAAAGGATGCAGAGGAAGGAAAGGCTCCTACCTGTAGGTTCCCTGCACCACCTCGTTGGAGATATCCTGGTCAATGTGGAAGTCGTCGAAGTCGATGTCGAAGACGCTGCCGGGGCGGGCGGCGGCCACGGCGACGAGGGCGAGGAGAACAATCTGGGGAAAGACCTTGTCGTAGGTATGATTTGAACGTAATGATGAAAGGAAATGCAATTGCATACTTTTCACTTGGTGACGTTGGACAGAAAAGTGAGATAGGAAAAGTATCGACAACAAACGATTTATGCTATGGTACAGCAATATTCAACTGTATATCATATATAAACACACACACGTGTTATATGATGATGCAGATTAGGCCAGAATCGCCCATTTATTTGCTACTTTAGGCACCTACGAGATACGAAAACGAATCATTACTCTGTTATATCTGATGTATTCTTCAGTGGTATTCACAATACTAAATAGTGAGAATGCATGTACTTTATGAATATCTACATCTGTATCTATAATTACTATTCACAAAACTGCCATATGCACCAGTGACTTACAGCGAACTTCATCTTGATTGCTGTTGAGTGTTGTACTGCCTTGTCCCAAGCGAATGTGACTTTTATACGGACCTCAGTGGCCACACCTTCCTGACATGACCTCGATCGTCTTTTTGAACCAGACTTCGGCCTCGTACCTGGCCTGACCTTGCGCTTGCTCTGCTATCAGTTGTAAATACAAGGTCGTTTTCCGTTAGATAATTTCGAAACATCTAGAAAGACGTTTGCTGTTTTTTTTTTTTTTTTTTTTTTTTTTTTTTTTAAACATAGTTTTGATTATCATTATTAGATGTTTTTCTGCTTATATGCTTGACTTATTACGCATTTATTATCAAATGATGATTTCAAGAATGTGATAAAGTTTGCAAGCCTCTGACATAAGTTGACAGTGTAATTAACTGTCCTCTAAACTAATTTATTTATGATATAATTTACTGATTAATTACGCAAATGATGATTGACATTGAAGAAAAGTTGCAGCCTAGAGAATTGTGAAAAGAGGCGATGCTTTACTCTCAGGTCGACTTTTATCTTAAATACGTGGAATTTATGAACAAAGAGGAAAATGAGTATCAAAAATATGCACACACACATACAGATTCACACACGTGCACACATTCACACACACTCATACCGACACACAGATTTCCTATTCACTACTCGCAGTGAGAAATTCCATTTTTAAGGAGATAAAAACTGTTCTATGGATATAAGCCTTTTTTATTTTGATTTATTGAGCGATATCGAGAGAGCTTGTGCCACAATGGTATTCAATGATCCCGTTTTCCTATAAATAAACAGGAAATCTTATTCTCTGCCTCATAAAAGATATGTAGATGAATTATATGATATTAATAAGACATATAGTGAGATAGGTAGTTCGATACACGCAGACATGCAGGCACGATCACACATATACGTATAGACAATCATACATATATAGTGTATGTATCCGTTATGTTAGTCGTATCCAAATTTGATTTGGGATAAATTAAGGTTTGAGAAAATTTAATTCACAAGTACAAAATATTTTCATTGACAAGGATTAGTTAAACCAAATATGTATAAAAAGAAAGACAGAAGGAAGGAAAGAGAAAAAAAACTGCAATCAGATAAGCCAATCATTAACAAAATTCATTTTAGAAAAATATCTAACTTTCAATGAAAAGAAAACTAGTTATATGAGATGTAGATAAAGTAAAGGCTGTCAAACTCCAACACACACACACATACGTATCTATGTATATTTATACATACATATATATGTATATATATATACATACATACACACACACACACATATACATGCATTCACATAAACACACACACATACACATATATGTATATATATTTGTATATACATATATATACACATATCTATGTAAACACATACAAATATATATATGTATACACACATATATGTATATATATGTATGTGTATATATATGTATATATATTCATATATATATATACATATATATATATATATATATATATAATATAATATATATATATATATATTATATATATATATATATATATATATATAATATATATATATATATATGTATGTATACATGCATACATATAAATATTTATGCGTATACATATATTTATATATATATAGTATACATTCATATATATATATATATTATATAATATATATATTATATATATATATATATATATATTATATATATACGTATATATGTATGTATATATATGTGTATATATATAAGCACACACATACATATATATGTAGATATGCACATATATATGTATTGTGATATATGTATATACATAATATAATTACACGCATACACTTATACGTATGGATACGCACACACAAAAGTTCTAATTCATGTGCAAACGCATCGATGAGCTTTGAGTACACTTTCCAAAATTTTCCTTCATCGCAACCATCTCCTAAACTGCACATTTTGACACAAACGTCAACAAATCCGAATTAGCTGAACATTAAAGTTCCTGAACACTTAAGGTATTATTTTGTCCTATGATGGCTAATATTTTAATTTTATACACTCAATTTATCGTCGTAAGTTGCGTAGTTGTGAAATGCTATTTTGTGAGGCTGGGATTCCACTAACATAAAAATATATATATTTTTTGCTTTTGATTTCAGGAATTTCATTGGCATTCATACTTCGCCTGAAGGATTTTGGACCAAACATTGCAAATTGATTTTCAAGAACAGAGCCAACTGAGGCTAACCATTACAGATGGATTCCATTGATAAGATATAGACTGTATGAGTAACAGATGTCGTAACAGTAGACAGCCAACATTAATGTGTTTATGACGAAAGATACTCCATCAGCAGTAATAAATAAAAAGTACTTTGAAATATACTTAGCTTTGAGACTGTTTATATGTTTTGATTTATATAATTGGTTATCATTCTATGAATACAATCATATAGCCATGGATATGTATGGCAATATGTATGATTTTAGTTTTAAAAGGAAAAGTATGGGAATTCTGAGTGAAGCATTTTAAAATTTATTTAAATGACATTTACATTAAACAGACAAATAAATTATGCTATGAATCCACTTCATCTGCCGTCAGGCTCAACGCAGCGACCCGCGACCCAGAGCGGGAGAGGCCGCATCGCCTTCGCCGTGACCGATTTCGGAGGGACGCTGGAGGGACGTCTGACCGGGTCCGTTGTGGGCGCCTGTTGGTCGGTCGGTTGGCGGCGGTCCGGTTTGGCTTAACTCCTGTCGAAGAGATCCTCGAGGGACACGAAGGATCCCTGGTTGCCGTCGGCGGCGACGCCGTTGGTGACGGGGACGGCGTTGGACTCGACGATGCGGTATCCGTCGTCGTCGGCGATGTACTTGATGAAGAACTTCTCTCCCTCGGGGGACGTCCAGCTGGAAGGGGGAAGGCAGGATATATGAAGGAGGCTTGACGCTGTTTGGTGTTAGTGTTTTGGAAAGGGAAGGACTCCAAAGGATGCAGAGGAAGGAAAGGCTCCTACCTGTAGGTTCCCTGCACCACCTCGTTGGAGATATCCTGGTCAACGTGGAAGTCGTCGAAGTCGATGTCGAAGACGCTGCCGGGGCGGGCGGCGGCCACGGCGACGAGGGCGAGGAGAACAAGCTGGGGAAAGACCTTCTAGTGGGTATGGTTGGAACTCAGGGATAAATGGAAATAGAGCAGGATTATATCTCGCCCTTATCGACGTAGGGCTGGAAATCATGCAGGGAAAATCATTGAATGTGCAGATTTAGATCCTTAACAGCAACATTAAATTGTATATGTATGCACATATGTGTGTGTATAAATATATACTCAGCATGGCATAATATGGTGATGTAGACAAGGGTTAGAGGAGCAGGCCAGGATCGCTCTTCTATATGCTATTTCTGGCTATTTCACCTACAACTAGGAACTAGAACAAGATGTATTATCCAGTCATAAAATGTGATGTATTCTTGATCGATATCCAGCCACATACTAAAGTCAATGGATATCTGTCCTGTATGTATATCTTAACCTGTTTTTATAATTACTGTATTCACATAACCCTAACATATGCACCCATAACTTACAACGAACTTCATCTTGATTGTTGTTTGAGTGTTGTACTGCCTTGTCCCGAGCGAAGTGTGGCTTTTATACGTCCTGTGTCGCCACGCCTTCCTGACATGACCTCGATCGTCTACTTGAACCAGACTGCGACCTCGTACCTGGCCTGACCTTG